CTTCTGTACGCGGCTGTATGTGTTGGGCGTGGCGCAGTCCGTGCCGCACGTAGGTGGAGAGACCCCTGCTGCCCGGGCCCCTTGGTGACTTGTAGTGCTGGTAGCCTCTGATGTTGGCACGGGTGCCCCCGTCCAACAGTGTCTCCTGGACAAGCAGCACGTCTGCTTTCGTTTCCGCCAGCAGGGCCCCGAGGAGGGTCAGCCTGGGCCTAAGGCCATTCGCGTTAAAAGATATTACTGTCAGCTCCATCAGTTAAGTAGGAATGCCGTGAACTTAATGAGCGAGTGCAGGTGTTCGGACGGCTCGTCCGTCTTGGCAACCTCTTGCAGCAGATTGCTAAGAGCAGTGAACATTTCTTGAACTGGGATCTTTCTGATCCCAATTGAGTTGCTAAGGATGACGGCTTCGTCCATCATCGCGGTGAGCGCTTGGTTTGTGGTGTGGATCTTGGGAGTGCTTCGGAGGGGTGGGGCGTGCGGGGGGGCCCTTGACGCCGGGGCGGCTGCCCAGGCTGGCTTGGAGGGAGCGGCGGGTGCAGGGGTGCGCTCAGCTGATTTCTTCTCAGGCAGGGCCGGCCACTCGCTTTCCTTTTCGATAGCCGCCATGCGGGCCCTGCCCTCTGGGGTCGCCCAGTGGGCGTTGCTCGCCTGTGGTTTACGTGGCGGGCGCGTCCGGTGCGTCGTCACCCGGCCGGAGAGGAGCTGGAGGCGGGAGGGGGCGGGGGGCTGTGCGGGCGGCTGGGCGGGCGTCTGGCAATCGTCACTAGGCGTGTCGGGCTGTTTAGGCAGGTCGTGTTGTGCGACGCGGCCACCCTGGCCGGCCTGGCTGGGCTGCGCAGGGGTGGGGGCGGGGGGCTTGGGGGGAGCCACCTGCTGTGCGCTCGGCTTCATGGCAGGCCGGGGCGCAGCGTGACTCTGCTGCGCTTTGGCGCTACCCTGTGAAGGTTTTTCCTTGCTCTTCTGGAGCAGCGACTTGACTTTCTGGTAATAAGCACAGCCATGGAAGGTGGTGCGGTGTGGGCCGCGGCAGTTGGCACAGAAATTTGGCATTTTGCAGCCAGTGGACGGGTGTGGGCCGCCGCACACTCTGCAGGCGATTTCCCGGTGGCAATTTTTGGCGCTGTGGTTAAAATCTTGACACCGAAAACATTGGACAGGCTCCCCCCTGGTGTCAAACCGCTCCCACTTGACCATACAGTGGCCTACCACCGGCGCTGCCGCGGCTACGGCCCGAACCTTTGTGCCGGTGGGAAAGGTACAAATGACCGCAGATAGGGCCAGGGACCTGGGCTCAGGAGCCGCGGGGTCACGGGTCGTGATACGGCGTACGTTTAGGACCTGCAGGCCCGCCGCCTGCAGCTCCTCCTGGATGCGGTCGGCAGGAACGCCCGCTGGGATGCGCTTCATGACGAGGCGCTCCACCCTCTCACCGCGCGGGGTTTGGGTGGTGAAGGTGACCCCCTCTTCTGCTAATTTGGCCATTGCTTTGGCATAGTCCTCCATGGACTGGGCCTGCAGAACCATGCCCCTGCCGCGACCGGCCGTGCGGCAGGTAAGTGGCCGTGTGAGTCGTGACTGCAGCTCTTCGACTTTGGCGAAGAAGTGTTCACCCCAGTCAGTGTCTGTGTGTATTGGTGGGGGGGTGTTGTGTTTGGTGTGTGTGGGCGCACTCGCACTCACCTTGCTGGGACTGGGACCTGCGTCGGCGTCCTCTGCGACCTCCATGTCGTCGTCCTGGGCAGATCGCGGAATGGAGCTGGGCTGACTGCAGTCCATCTCGGAGTCGGGTTCTGCTTCCCCGGCGGCGTCCTGGGCAGCGTCCTGGTAGTCGCTCGTGCTGGTGCGCCTGCTGTCTCCGCTGGCGCTGGCCACGTCGAGGTCCTGGGTCCTCTGGCGTGGGGCCTTGGTGGGCGACCAGGGCGCGCCGTCGTCCTCGAGCTGGCGCTTGGTCGGCGTGGCCGGCTCTGGGTTTGCGGCGGCTGGCTGGGGGCGGGACGCCGTGCCCGCTGTCGGGGTGGTCCAGAGCGCGGGCTGGTCCATGAGCTGGGCGAGGGCCTTGTCGCGCACCCCCTCCATGGAGCGCTTCCACTCCCCGAGTTTGCCCGCCGCGGCCTTGTCACTGCCCGTGGCCACAGGCGCTCCGCGGAGGACGCATGGGCGGGTGCAGTACTCGCCGTAGTGATGGATGTAGGCCGCGGTGGCGTCGGTCTTCATGTAGGTCAAGCCCTTTTTGCAGTGGGCACACTTGATGTGGACGACTTGCCCGTCGTCCTGGTCGGTCAGGAGGGCCCGAATGGCCGTCCCTAGCTTGCGCGCGTTGTTTTCGCGCAGCGTCGCCTGTGCGTAGCGGTCCCTGTCCGTCTCCGTGGTCTGGAGCGACGCGCACTCCTTGTTGGCGTGGCGGGTTTTGGCACCCGCCGCCGCAGTCTCATTTTTGTATTCGCTAATTGTCCTGCAATGGTTGCAGGGCACTAGCCGGCCCATGGTGGCGGTGTAGGCGCGAACGTCTCTGACACACACACACACACACTTCACTGATAAACACTTATCACTGCACTGCACACACAATCACTGTCACAAGCACTGCACTGTACACACAATCACTGTCACAAAGCACTGCACTGTATCCATTTTCACTGGCTTGTGGGGCCCGGGCCGGCCGGGGGCGCACCGTCTCTGGGCTGCGCAGCCTGGCGGGCGGAGAGGGCTCGGGTCGCCGAGGGGCGCTCCCCAGATGTTGCGGTGAATATGCACGTCTGCTCTGCTCCAAGGTCAGGGCCAGACTCCAGCTCTCGACGCGAACCATAACGTTGCGATGCCGCAAGTTCTAACTAACTCTGCGACCAGGGGGGCAGCTCACAAGAAGAGGTGGCCGCGGCGGCGGCCGCGGGCGCGCGCGAAAAGGGGGGACAGCTGGCCCAGGTGGGGAGGGGGACGGACCGGCGCACTGCAGGCGTGGTCGTGTGCCGGTTCGCGGACTGCCCACCAGACGGTGCCACATGTTAGTCGCGGCCCGCAGCGGCCGGCCCCCCAGCTGAGGGGGCACGCCGTCGGCAAGCAGCCGCGCGGGGCCCTCAAGACGGTCGACTCGCCCGGTTGGCCGGACCGACCTTGTCTGACGTCGGCCCCATCATGTCCCCTTCCCCCGCCGCAGATGACGGCCGAAGTGGGTCTCTCGCTCTGCGTGGAGGCGGCAGGCACGGCTCGGACACCCTCTCAGTCCGAACCGTGTTCGATTGCGGTACGCGGTACGCGCATACAGGTTCCCGCTCGGCCCCGTGTACCCCGTCCACC